TTGGCCTAGAAGATGGGAGAAAAGCAAAAGTGCAGGCTAGTAAGAAAAAGAATGTCTCAAGAAAGATTGGTGTTGATGGGAAGATGGATGCTGGCTCCTGGGAAGATTTCCAAGGTCCCTCTTCATCCTCCCATGACACCCTTTGCTCCTCCCTAAGGAAGATGGATGCTGATCTTAATGTTCTGTCTCCAGATTCTGATGGAATTACATTTGCTAGTGCGAGCTGAGTGGAGCTGATGGGCATTAAGAGGTTGGTACACAGGCGTGTGATCTCCAATAGCTCTTCAGGCTTAAGTGGTAGGAGCAGCGGGGCTGCTTTCTCTCTCAGTGGAAGCTGCTGTCTTTCCTGGTCTAGGTAGGCCTCCACCAGCCAAGGTCGGCTTGGAGCCAGGCATGGTGGCACAGACACTCCACCTGTCTTTCCCTCACAACACTAACGCTGGAAGGAAGGAGAATGGGATGGCATCCAAGGTAAGTTTAGAAGACCTCATAATTTCCTTTAGTCTAAGTGACCATTTCTCAGTGGTTTAGGAGACTGTTCTGAGGTTCTTCCAGCCTAGCAGAACTCAACCCTGGCACCGAAGCCACAATTAGTCATGTCACTTTGTGCTTATTTTCCACTGACTCTGCACATCTTCACTGATGATGCATGGAGGGAAAATGGGAGTTCTGGACTAGCACTGGGCACTACCGAGCCTCGAAGTCCACTCCAAAACCATATGACAATTTTTTAAAGAATTGTTATTTTGTTGTTTTTGAAACAGGGTCTCACTATGTAGCCCTGGCTGGCCTAGAGCTCACCACAGAAACCAGACTGGCCTCGAACTCATAGAGATCTGCCTGCCTCTGCCTCCTGAGTGCTGGGATTAAAGGCATGTGCCACCATGCCTGGCCTATATGGCAGTTTTTTAATGTCCAGCAAGACTTCTGGGAGCCCAACCATAAGACAAGGACTAAAAAGTGTGCCTTGGATTCCATAACAAGGTTTCTGGTGTTCTTGAACTGAACTATCAGTGGCAGAACATGGCAGGAAAAGTCTAGAAAACTGGAGATGTAGGAGTGGTACACCTGGGCCCAGATGTACCACTTTGTGGGAAGAGCCCACAAAGAGAAAGTATTGAGACAGGGAGGTGCTGAGAAGGAGAAAGATAGAAACATCTAAACCACAAGGAGGGAGTAGCTTTGCATAAAGGGCCATCCCTTCCATTCTAATGGGAAAAGGGTGACCCTATGACAGGCAAATTTAGAGCTTTGGTAGGAAGATTATTTTTTTCAGACAGGTCTCACTGTGTATCCCTGGCTGACCTGGAACTTGCTATGTAGGACAGGTTGGTCTCAAACTTAGAGAGATCCACTTGCCTCTGCCTCTTGACTGCTGTGACTAAAGGAATGCACCACCACATGCTCAGCTTGGTAGCAAAATTTTGAAGGATCGCTGTCTGATGGCCAACTCTCACCACCCCATCCCTTTGTTTTGACAGAATTTCATTCTGTAGTCCAGGCTGACCTTGAATTCACAGAAATTGACTTGCTTCAGCCTCTCATATGTTGGGACTATAGGCCTGAGCCACCACGCCCAGCCCAGGTGGTTGTTTTCTTGGTGGAATCAAGGATCTAGGGCTGAGTCTCAAGGATCTGAGGAAGATAGAGTTAAGAGGGAACCGCATATTGTGCAGGCAAGCAGCCCCAAGGGTGAGTGAGGCATAGGGGACTGATCCTAGCTTGGGGATGCCGGTCCTAACCTTGTCTCTGAGACAAATTCACATCACTAGTGGACACCATTTATATCCAATGGAAAGCAGCACCTGGCAGCCTCCACCTGGGGCTGCACACCCCTGGATTATTGCTTTAAGTATTCATTTACTTGTTTGATGATAGTGGCATGTCTAAGAAAAAAAAAACTTCTTAAATACAGACTAGAAGCATCAAGCTTCCTAGATCCCAGGTTGAGGCACTCCCCCATCTTCCCCCTGAATGGGTGGATATTCCCTGGTGAAGAGAGCTGCTAAAGCTGTCAAGGTATGTTTCAGGGATAAAAGGGAAAAATATGTCTGGAAAATCCTAAACAGCACCCCCTCTTGGAGATTTAAAATGCATGAAACAGACAAGGACTGAAAACCTAACAGGGGAACTTTCTTTTTGTTTCAATATTTTAAACCACAGACTCCTGCCCACAACCCAACACACTTACACTACATCATTCAGAACTGGCTGTGTTACATAGACAGGATTTGGTATATGTCCCCTGGTTATCTGCTTGGTCCATTCCATGTGGTGCTCATAAATAACTCTCTCTAGAGAAAGACTTTCTGTTAAGAGTGAGAATAATCCATGGCATGAACAGAGCATTTGAAATCTGTGAGAAAACCCAACAGTCCAAGAGTCAAGTTAACTCAAGTCCACAGTGTACCAAACAGGCTGCAGGCAGGCATTCTCCGGTCCAGACACCGCCTTATAAGGTGGCCTGACATTTTCTCATGGCCCAGACTGCCCTCCAAAAATATCCAGAGACAGAGTAAGAGTGGGAACTGATCTCCCCAGACATTTCAAATAATCACAAGCAGGCTCTGCCACAAAAGAGTGCTAACACCTGCTTTGAGTCCCAGCTCTCAAACGTGCAAAACCCAGTGGTCTGTAGGGTCTGTGCAATAAGGAAATAAACTGACCCTCAAAACACATACCCATGCTTTCTCTGATCTATATTCCTCCAGAATGTTTGAAACCTGTCTTTGCTTTATATGGACTATACTGATGCATGACTAATTTTTGTCAATGCGCCTTTCTGCCCCTTCATATCCTTGGGCTGAAGCTGTTTTCTCATTGCTTTAGTTCTCAAAGCCGAGATTGCTTGTGAGGTGCTACCCCCTAGTGGGAACGCCTGGCTACCACAACACCAAGGTGGAAACGGCAGAACTGCAAACGCATCTGGATTATATCCACCCACAGGCAGACAGATGTGAAAGTGCTGCTGTGGTAAGGAGCCTAAGCTCTGGAATTAAGAAGCTTCCTGAAAACATAATTTCCCAACATAAAGTGATTTATGAAATGGGCACTAGGTGCTTAAACACAAAACCTTTTTATATTTGTAGCTCATTGAGAGTCACTGGGTAAATTTGCCTTTTGTGGGAAAGATTAATTTTGATAATGAGACTTGCCCTTGTAACGCCATGGTGTCAACTCTAAATGGAAACAAACAAAAACCAAACAGACACACAAATAGTCCTTCACATTTTAAAAAGAAAATGTTGGGTTAAAAAACCTGATATGGCTCTCTTCTGACTCTGGTTCTTAGATGTAGGCAGGGGAATGTTAATAGGTATGGCTATTTTTGGTAATAGTTACTTAGAACAGTTTCTTCACCACTGAACTGTACGACAATGAGCCAGGCTATTTGTAAGGCTTGGATTAAAAAAATAATAAGAGGAATTGCAATGGTGGTTTTCATTCTTGTTAAAGAACAGAACAACAAAGCAGTATTTTTGGAATGCGGTGTGTAACAGCAGGCTTCTTAATTACACCAACGGTAATTCCTCCAGGCTAAGGCTTATGTTAACACAGAACACATAATTGCCTCAAAGTAGGACAATGACAACCACAAAGCTCTGGTTCCCATCACCACCCCAAGGCTGTAAAGGCTGTATCTGTGGGTTAGCCTCAACCTAATAACTTTACCATCTGCTTTTCAGTTTCAGTTGTGATCATTGTATCTTAGGAACAACGGATTCTGCACAGGAGAGAGGCAGACTAACTGCTAATGGTGGAACTCCTGAGCAGTGAGCAGAAAGCCTTAAGAGATTCTCCTCTGGGACAAGACTGCACTGCTGGGTAGTGGCAGTGGTTAACTCCGAGAGAAAGACTGCAGCCCTAGGTGTGAGCACAGTTCTGCTGCAAGCACAGGAGAAGGAGCACTACAGGGATGAAAGGAATAAGCACAGGGAGCCATTTGGAGGGAGACACTGGGGATCCAGAGCTGGAGGCCTCGAAGTGACTGCTGTGAACATCCTAACCAGACTCTTTCCAGCACTTTTTGCCTCAGCTTGACAGTGAGTGAACCAGCATCTAGGAATGTTCTGGATTTGGAGCCATTTTCAGGATGAGGTACTTGAACTTTACCACATCTAGTTTTCATGGAAGATGAACATTGCTGGGGAATAGTTATCTCCCTGTTTAACTTAGAAAACCAACCTGAAGAAAATCCCCCAAAGCAAACAAAACAAAACAAAACAAAACAAAACAAAACAAAACAAAACAAAACAAAACAAAACCTCATTCTAGGACAAAGGCTCTTAGACTTCCTGATTCCTTAGAGAGATAATTCCTACCCTTCTGAGACACACTTGCAACCTGGCTTGGTGAGCCTGAAGGAAGACTAGAAGGCAGAATGACTTCTAGAAACCTAATAAAATCTATTTGGGAGGCTGGAGAGATGGCACAGTGGTTAGGAGCACTGGCTGCTCTTGCAGAGGACCCGGGTTCAGTTCCCAGCCCCCACATGATGGCTAACAACTGTCTGCAACTGCAGTTTGAGGGTATCCAATACCCTCTTCTGGCTTCTGGGGGCAATGTATGTATGTGGTGCACATGTGTGCAGGCCAAACACTCAGACACATAAAAATAAATCTTAAAAAAAACCCTTTTCCTATAAAAATAGAACCATTAAGGGGCTGGAGAGATGGCTCAGTGGTTAAGAGCACTGGCTTTTCTTACAGAAGACCCAGGTTTGAATCCCAGCACCCACATGGTGGCTCAACAACTGTCCTTAACTCTAGTTCCAGGGAAGTCTAACGCCCTCTTCTGTCCTCCAAGGGCACTGCATGACACAGGTGCACTTACACATACACAGGCATAACACTCACTCATGCACATAAACATGAAAATAAATGAATAAAAGAATAGAACCATTAAGTATAACAGACGCAGATTTTTAAAATCATCAAAAAGCTGGATCCCATAACAGAACTTAGGTTACTTCATTCTTGCAGCACAGTACTCGAACCAGATCCAGGCAGAACAAACACCAGTTTATTTTGAAATGCAACACAGATCAGTATTTTATGAATATAACTTATTACTACATTAATAAGAGATAAAAACGCTTTCAAATGCATGCATAGAAAGTTAAGCATAGTCTTTGAACTCCTTATTTCTAAATATACAAAAAATACATTTAAATTATATAATTTTAGTGAATCAAAGACTTATAAAATTACAATTTTGGTTTTCACAACATAGAAAATTACAAAAATGACTATATATATGGTTGTATAATTTTTTTTACCCAAATTTCAAAGGAGAAATATGTACTGACTTTTGTTTTATAATGATGTATCTGAAACTCAGAACTGAAAATAATTTTCAGGTTGGACCACATCAATGCCAGGCTCTAATTAGAATGAATAACAAACACAAGTGGAAAGTGAGGGCACAATCTCATTTGCCTCTCTAGCTCTGCTTCTTCCTTCTTGTTAAGTTTGCTTTAGAGGAACTTCCTCATCTGGAAGGATAGTACTTTATTACGTGCTAGCTCCATGGGGGCTTTGATAGTGGTGGAGACATGTGCTATGAGTGATCCCAACCTCAGCAAACAGCACAGCAAGATGCAGATTAGCAACCTGAGCCTACAAAACTGCTGTGCACCTCAAAGAAGGCTTCCATCAGAAGAGGGCCCCTTGGGAGGATCTGAAATATGCAATCAAGTTAGTGCTGAGAAGATGATGACTTCGACTATGCTCTCAAATGAAACTGCTAAATCTGACAAAACACCAGTGAAAATCACCTTCCTCATTCACACCTGTGAATATCTGTGATATCTGGGGGTTAGATGTTCTCAATATATAAAAGAACATCAGTGCTTCAAAGGGAGGAAATTAATTCATGCTAGGGACAAATATAAAGGGAAACAAAAAATGAAACAAACAAAAAAACCCTAAAACCCAGTTACTGAGCAAGGTCACTGAAGGACAGTGACCACCTCACTCATCTGCTGTATGGATTTTAAAGGCTGATGTCCAAAAACACTGCAGAGTTGAGATCCTTCTTGAGAAGGAAAGTGTTCGCTGTGTTTTCATTGCAAAGTTCACTCTGCTGCAGTTCAGGTGACCGAGAACTTCTCATGACAGGAAGCCCCCAACAGAGCTCTGTCCAACATGCTTGTGTTTCTCACAGCATCTTCTGCAAACCTTCCAAAGATGACTAACAATCTTAACCAAATAAAGTAATAATGCTGATATAACTCAAGTTGATTCTATTTTACAGTGGAAATACACTTTGGAAGATTAAAAAGGGAGAAAAAGCACGAAAATAATCTTTCCCACATATTTGTCTATCAAATACAAGAATAGATTCTAATTTTCAACACACCCAACAGTGCTGACTTGAAGCAGAATTTAATGTTCAATTAAAAAATAATTTATTACACACCTGCCTGCATTAATTTTCAAGCGCTTATGAAAATAAGCGCTTGAAAATTTAGTTTTTCATTATAGTCTTCTGATATGAACAATTACATTTTAAATGACAATGGCAAGATTTTTAAAGTCTTAAAGATAAACAAAAAAAAAAGAAAGAAAAGAAAAAAAAGAAGAAATAGGCTCTAGAAAGAAAAAACTTTAAAATCTTGTGCACTTCTAAATTTGGGTTTTGCATTTTCATCCAAACCTTTTTTTTTTTTTTTTTAAAAAGAAGTTGAAGTTTACTGAGTACCCTGAAAGGGAGCAGAGACCTGGGCAGTGACTAGGGCACTGCCTGTCTTCCCCAAGCCTTTCCTAAGGGATTCTAAATGCATGGTTAAACAATTAAGACATTATTTATTAGAGCACGTCCAAACTGATGGGTGATTCTGACATGTGGAGGTGATAATGCTTTTTGCTTATCCTAGAACATATGCTGCCTCTCTGGACTCACAACTTGGTGGGAATTAACATAGGACCACAAAGTATCTAAACAGAAGAGTAAAAAATTAAAGTAGAATTGTATACAAATTTATTTCAGAATGCTTTTCTGGACTATGCTGGTACAGCAATACCTTCCAAGTGCCTTTGATAACAGATTTCCTTACTCCTTATGTGATGAGGTGGGTTTCTAGTCTGCAGATGAGAATAGCTCTTGGCCAATACACAGACATGCTCCGAGCACAATACCGTGGGAAGTACTTACCATTTGCTAGCCATTGAGCTTTCCCTCTCGCACTGTTATTTATTAGAATGTGAGCTCCAGGTACGGTAGTTCTTTACAGTATACACATACTTATTAAATTCAAGCACGTTTCTTAGTGGCAGGCAGTAATGACTCAATTGAAAACAAATGAAAGGGTTTTCTGGTTATAGGCACTACCCCAAAGCTTCACAGGCATATACATTTTATAACTCATTCACTAGATATGAGGGGCTAGGTCCCAGCCAGAACTTCAGAGCATTCCAGAGAACAAATTGCTGCTTCAAAAATACAAAGAGTTTCCAGCATGCAGTCAAGCACTTGAGAAGGGAATTGCTAAACACACTACAGATTGAAACCGAATGTCTACCGCAAGCTGGGCAGTCAGTTGGAACAACTTCATTACTCAGACTGTAACTCTCAAGTGTATAGTGTTATAGGTCTTTATCAGATACATGAAGGACATAGGAGGAGATAAAACTCCAACCCCCTTTCTAGTGCCATCATAAATACTGGGAACTTGTGGTTAGAAGAGCATGCTCAAAGGACTGGCTGGGATGCTTTATGTAACAGCCTTTTAAGTGTTTTTATTTTTTTTTTTTTTTTTTTTTATAAAATCCCAGGCCCACGTGACACTGGATTTTGGTTATTTTATTTTTAATACTTTTAAAAATAATTCTTACTTATTTTCTATGAAACGTACTGGGAACTCAAAAAGTCTGCAGCATTTTTTGATCGTTGAAAGTCTGGTTTGGGAGGGACTGGTGCGGAAAGGAGGAGCTATTCAAACTTCTTGTATTCTTCAGTACGAGAAAGCACCTTTCTTCTCTGGTGTATCATGTGGAAGTATAACTGAGGAAAAACTGGAAGAAAAGAAAGAAGAACTGGTTATGGAGATCTTTTTTTAAACTGTTTATTGCTATTCATTCTGGTTTTTTTTTTTTTTTTTTTTCCTTTTCTTTTCTTTTCCAGTCTTTTTGAGACAGAGTTTCCCCATAGTCCCAGCTGGCCTGGAACTCACTATGTAGACCAGGCTGGCCTGGAACTTACAGAGATCCGCTCTTCTGCCTCCCAATGCCACCATGCCCGCTATTCCTATTTGTTCTGAATGCTAGTGAGCATGTTAGACAAATTCACTTAAAAGTGGCCAATGAAGTTCTTTTTGGGGGGGGGGCTTTTTGAAACAGAGTCTCCCTGTAGCCCCGGCTCACCTGGAATTACTATATAGACCAGGCTGGCCTTGAACTCACAGATATCTGCCTGCCTCTGCCTCTGAAGTGCTGGGACTACAGGTGTGTGCCACCACATCTGGCTTTGAAGTTCTTTTTTTTAATCTTTTGAAACTATGTTTCTATGTTCTAGGGGCTAGAGAGATGGCTCAGTGGTTAAGAGCACTGACTGCTCTTGCAGAGGACCCAGGTCCGGTTCCCAACACCCACCCACATGACAGTTTACAACTGTCCACAACTCCAGTTCCAGGGAATCTGATGCCCTTTTCTGGCCACCACAGGTGCATTGACATATATGCAGGCAATACATTCATACACATAAAATAAAAGTAAAAAAACCCCCCAAAAACTGTATGTTATAGCTGGGCATGGTGGTGAATGCCTTTAATCCCAGAACTGGGGAGGCAGAGGCAGGTAGATCTCTTTGAGTTCGGGGCCAGCCTGGTCTACGTAGTGAGTTCCATGCCAGCCAGAGCTACATACTGAGACCATGTCTCAAAAACACACAAACAACAACAAATCCAAACCAACCCAACAACCAAATCTGAAAACCAAACAAAAATAACTCTAATGTTCTACTTAAAGCACATGGTCTTCCAGATGCTCCGACTATTTTCTCATCCAATAACCAATGTAAGCAACGAAACAGGCTTGAAGGAGGAGGAACAACATGGAGATGTTCCCGTTTCAGCCGAGGGTGAGAGTGATGTGGAATGCAATGGCAGACACTATTGTTATTACCATTACCAGTCAAGATGCCACAGAGCCTTCCTGAGAAAGGTGGTTCTGTGATCAGCAAAAATGAGGAGGGAGAGGAGAGAGAAAACATTTGACCTAAATGTAACTAAGCCAGGTTGGGATGTACAAAAAGCCTCTACAGAAAGGAAGCCAGTATGCAAGGCATCAGGCACTGGACAGTCTTCTGGTTTTGGTCATTTCACAGGATACCTTAAATTGCCTTTTCCCTCCCTGAGACAGGGTCTCACTAGGTAGCCCTAGCTGGCCTGCAACTCTCAGAGATCCACCTGCCTCTGCCTCCTGAGTGCTGGGATTAAAGGCATGTGCTACCATGCTCAGCAAGTAAGGGTCCTTAAATGATCAGGAGGTAATGTCTTCCTAGGGAATATTTGGAAAGGGGGCAGGAGTTACTGGCATTTAGCCTATAAGACGAGGGATGCAAAAACACCCCCAACTAAGAACTGTCCACGCAAATGCCCAGTTGGGAAATGCTGGTTTGAGCAACCTAGGCCTCACAAGGTTCTGCAAACAGGAAATTCAATCATCATAAAGAAATCTAGGTGAGAAGGTCTTTGGGGCACCACACCCTTCTTTCCCTCCTCAATGTGTAGTAATTTCCTCCAAGTTAAAATCTTCCATCTTGGAGGGAAGTGGGAAGCTCATTTGACACAGAATGTTTTAAAGGGAGGTCAAGTACTCCATTCTACAGGGAAGCTCCTTAAACTCAGTAAGTAAACAACTCAAAAGCTTCAGGAAGTCCCTGCAATGGAACAGATTCACTAGGTTCCCCCCTCCTCAAGCCCTAAGGCCTGCTGAGAAACCCTCTCAGACCAGCTGAGCTGCCTAGAAGAGGCAGAGAGAGACCAGAGCAGTCATCTGCAAGAAGCAGAGACTAGCCTAGCTGTCTGGAAGAGACTCAGACCAACTGAGCTACCTGAAAACTTCTCTCCAGCCTGTTGAGCTGCCTGAGAGTTGTGCAGTGCTCCAGGTTTCCAGCTTTCACGAGCTGTCACCCATGCTGGGGTGAGCTTTTGGTGATGCAGCTGTCTCTTGAGTCATTTCTGTTCCTGTAACTCCTCACCCATACTCCTGGAAGAAACCCCCATAAACTCAACGGTTCAAGCTTGACTCTGGTGGCATCCTTACTTTGCTCTGCGGTTGGTTCCAGAACTTTGGTGGTTTCTATTATCGCCAGCTCTCTTGGGACAATTTCTTCCTTTTCAAATGAATTCTAAGTTGATAAAATTTCAGATGCCCCTCAAAGTACTCCAAGGCATTAGGCCATGTCCACAGTGATGTGGCGAGCCATGGGGGGAGGTCTGAGTACTGAGCCGTGTTGCCACTCTACTTGCTATTTCCAGGGAGGAAGTTATTCACAGAAAAAGCCCAGCTTATGCAGAGAATTCAATAGTGACAGAACTATTTTGGTACGAAAGCCAGAAAATCTGACAAGCTTATAATCTAAAACCTGGAAGTAAGGATATAATTAAGCCATAAGGAGTGCTAATTGTAATCATTTAAAAATGCGGGGCTCGTTATATCACAAGCTTTCCTTTAGGAAAGGGACTCTTCCTGAGCTGAGCATGTGGAGGATGCCTTCACTGGCTGCCTTAGTGACTGCCCAACCACAGAGGGTGGTGCTGGCCTCATGTTAAGGTCAGAGGAAAGCACTAGGGAGGCTAAGTGTAGAGGCCATGCATTATGCCCTCTGGAAGATGGTTATGTGTACCTTAATTCCCACTGGCAATATCCTGTGGCTGTCAGCAGGGTCACACTACAGAAACAGGGGTTCATTATAATGGAGGGCTGCCTTGCTGGATCTGCCTGTCACTCTAAGCAAGAGGGCAGCAGGAAGGCATGACAAGGCTGGCTACTAGGCACAGAAAAGACTGGTATGTGTAGTCAGACTGAGGCTGCTTGGGAACTGCTCCTGCAGTGAAGTGCTCCTCTGAGACAGAGTGGAAAGCTGGTGGGAACGTGAGGTTGGACCCTGGGTTTTCATCAGTGTGGAAGTTCTCATACAGGTGTGAGTTCATGATACCCTCCCTGCCTTTTTAGACGTATAGTGTGGTTCATACTTTCTGCTTATTCCAACACCATGTGGAGTGGCAACAAATCCCATGAAGTCTAGTGGGTGCTATTCTGGGTGCCTTGCTACTCTAGTGTTGGGAAAATGAAATGCTAGGGGAGCAAAATTATGTTAATTTGAGTTCTATACATTTTTACTCCTCCATATTTGCCTTTTGTTTAAAAATCAACTACCTTTTATGTCTAAAGAGAGCTGGCCTTTAGCTGCTAGGTTCCAGCATCAAAGGGGAGGACTTGGTAATGCATAGGGTGCAAAAATGAATCATGAAGCAGGACTACATCCAAGACTTTCTCTAAGATAAATGTTCACTTGAAATCTGGACCTTCTTTTTTTCTCACAATGCATGAAACGCAATTTTCCACAGAAGGACACAAACATGTCACTTGGGATGATTAGGGTGACTCATTCAGATAATGCTGAGGGCTGAAATAAAAAAATCTATTCCTGTCTGAACCCAACGGGGGTTTAAAGGAGACTTTATAGATTAACATTTACAGGTTCAGTGGCTATAGGAATAGCTAGACGAGAAGAAACATTACCATTGTATGTCCTTGGGTATAACACAGCGCCTTTTGAATACAGAAATCATAGGAGTCACACAGAGCAAAATCTGAGAAAGAAGACTGCTCTCCGTGGTCAGCAACAAGAACTACCTTTTACAGCATCGTCCAACTGCACTTTCTGCTCTGCCACTGTGGGCTCAGAGGTACATTTGATTTTCTGTGTATTTAAACCTTCAGCAGCACTATTACAGTAACTGGCAACCACACAGAAGGGAACATTGTGTCCCATTCAGAGGGTTTTAGTGTTCAACAAGAAAATGAGAAATGTAGAAAAATAAATCTGTTTTTATTTTGTTGTTTCTAGTCAGCCACTGATCTCTAAAAATGAAGTAAAACTGTCTATTTTGATATAGCAAGGAATGTAAAAATGCTTTATACAATGTTTTTCAAAAACCACAAAAAGCATTTCTCAAGAGACAGGAAAATAAAGCCAAGGTAAGACCTTTAATGGCTTTTCTGTTTTCTACTCAGTACTCCTGGCCCTACCCAACCCAGAGTTTATCTGTCCTCAAATTCACTGTTTCAAAGGCACCACCAAGAACAGCTGCATTTTGGCAGCTGCACTGAGAACAGTTCATCCTTACTCAATTACTACCAGAGAAAATTCCCTTTCAGTCAGCAGTCAATAAAAACCAAAGTGCTCCCAATAAATTAAATTAACCTTTACTTAGATATAGAGCAAAGACAAAGACATTCAACTCTAGTTATTGTGGAGTCAATTTTTAAAACATAAACATATGCACTATTTACTTACTTGGAATGTAGGACATCATTATCAGAATTAGGAATGCATAGTAGTCAAAGGAGAAGTTGTATTTGTTAGGTAAACTGATGGAGTACAGGCCAGCCTGTCTGACAAAGGGCAGAGCTGCATACACCGTCAGTAGTTCTCCTGCTACTCCCATTGGGTACAACACGATGAAAAGTGTGTACCTGAAATGAAATGAAACAAACACTCAGTACTGAGGCTCAAAGCCATGTGAGAAGCACTGCTCTTCAGAAAGCTATTGTTCCTTTATTTTCTGTTTACTTCTTTAAATTCAGCTTTTACAAGTCAGTTTTTGAAAAAGGACTATTGTAGGTCATTGTTTCGAAATGTTCTAAAACAAAGTAAATGTGTTCAGCCAGTTTCAAACTCTGGTTTGACTAAATACACAAATTTTCAAAACTAAGGAGAAGCAGGTAGAGGAGGGGCACTGAGATGTATATAACGAAGCCTTTGGAGGCTAACTGGAGGGGACGTGGGAGGGGGAAGAGGGAGGTGCTGGAGCATACTACCTAGGAATTCTAGACTATACATCAAGCCTAAGTGTGTGGACTCAAGAAAAACGGTACATTACACATGTATATTTGCTGCTATTACCAAATGTCTGTTCATGCTATTGTGAAAAATGGAATCTATGCTAGCTTTAATGTTAAAAAAATGCAAAATTTTGAAATTAAAACCCCACAATTACAATTACTATTGTATGAGAGGTCCACACAATTATTTTCACTTTAAATTTATGATTTTTATTTTTATTTTATGTGGATGCGTGTATTGCCTGCATATAGCTAAGTGCATCCGTGTCATGCAATGCCCATGGAGGACAGAAGAGGCTGTTGGATCCTCTGTAACTGGAGTTACGGACAGTTGTTAGCTGCCATGTGGGTGCTGGGATTCGAACCTGGGTCTTCTGCAAGAACAAGCAGTGTTCTTAACCGCTAAGCCATCTCTCCAGACCCTATTTTTATTTTTTTAATGCGTGCTTTGCCTGCATGCACATAGGTGCACTTAACAGACCTGAAAAAGCCTTTGGCTGCTCATGGCTCACAATGAACACTGGATTACAACTCCCAGAATTGTGCTGGGAAAGGGAACCCAGATCACTAGGCAGGACAGTGGAAAAGAATCTTCCATAGGCCATGGTGAAAAATGAGCAAAATAATCTCTGTGTAACAGTAAAATCAAGACTCAGTCAATAGAGTCCCCACAAACTGGGCAGGCAGTCTTTGCAATGGCTGTGCAGGTTGGGAAGCAGCTGTCAGCTTTTCATTCTTCTTTTTCTCTAATAAAGTCTATTGCAAAAATAGCAATAAAGCAAAGAGGATCTTGAAATGTTGGAAACAACTGGATTATGTTCCTAATTTAATCAGAGCTCATAAATTGTCTAGTAACTACTGTTTTCCTTCTATGAAATGAGGCATTTCAGCTTCAAGGACAATTTGGGTCTTTCTGCTTTCCCCACCCTCCCCCACCCTCCCCAACCCTAGTCCCTTCCATGCAGGAAACTGCTCACAACTGTCTCATGGGTTAGTTAGGATAAACAAATGTGCTATCGGCCTTTTGCCAGAGTCACTGTCAAAACTGAATTTTGTTACTGTTGCAGAGACAGGGTTTCACTCTGTGGTCAGACCATCCTGGAACTTGTGGCAGTTCTCCTGCCTCTGCCTCCCAAGGGCTTGAATCACAAAAGTGTGAACTACCGGGGCTGGAGAGATGGCTCAGCAGTTAAGAACACTGGCTGTTCTTGCAGAAAGACCCGGGTTTGAATCCTAGCACCCACATGGCAGCTAATAACTGTCCTAACTCCAGTTCCAGGGGATCCGGCAGCGTCTTCTGTCCTCTGCGGGCATTGCATGACACGGGTGCATTTACCGACACACAGGCAATACACACATACACATAAAAAAAATAAATAAAATATTAAAAAAGTGTGAACTACCATGCCTGAATTCTTAATTGACTACTATTGTTAAAAATAATCAAAGCACAATAAAACTCATGAACTAAGAATACCATGTTTGTTACTTTAATACCATGTAATATACCATGTAATGTTTGTTAGTTTAAGAGTTATAGCTTCTTGATAAAATGAGACCAAGAGATTTGGCCATAGACCAAAACTATCATAATGGGACAAGCTCCTCAGTTAAATTGGATAAGGACAAAAAAAAAAAAAAAAAAGAAATTACATTTTCAGCACTAATTGTGCAAGTCTTCCCTTATAGAATAGAAGACCCTGAATTCAAGAGGTTGTATTTAAAGTGAAAATCATCTATTATTAAACTGGGAGGAAAAAAATATTTGAGGTGATACATTAACCACCAACCCCTGGATCAAAGACAGAGGACAACACAGGAAAGATGTCCTAAAATGCTGCCTCACATGTAACACCTGTTTTACCACTTACATTTATATTTGTGGTATAGATGTGCATTAACCAAATTAGAAGCAAGGGATATTATGTTCACCTTGAAGCATTTTTAGAAGGAGGCAGTTAATGTCCTTTAATCATAGTGGTTGCTCACAACTAGAGAAACTTTCAGAGTACTTCCTAAAACCTAGCAGCACCTTGTTTCTTGAATTATAACTATTTTTATTTATTAGCACAAGAGCAATTATCTGGCTATGTTA